AACTAGCTTTTTTATCTATTAAGAACACTTAAAGAATGGAAATAAGAAAGGTTAAAATCAAATTTGTAATATAATACCTTATAAACCAGTACATCTACGTGCACAAATATTCTTAAATTGTAGGTATGTTACATATCAATAAAATGCTAAAATAAATTCTTACATTCGATTATTTAGTTATATAAAACGAATAAGAGATAAGCAATTTACAAAAGAAACTCACCGATCTTTCCACTTTCACTATCCTCGAGGCTAAGCTGATTTTGGACTGATATACATCCTTAGCTGTTGAACCTGCTTTTCCCAAAATGAGATCTAACCTATAAGCATAATATAATAGTTTGGAGCTTTTTTGATAATCATGAGAATTAAAAATTAACGATACTGCATTTTCATTTACGGTAATAAATTTTGCGTAAGAATGTGATTCAACAATTCTTAAAAATCTCGTGTGTTCTATTAACATTTGGTGATAGTACTTTTGCATTACCATGTAATACTTTATACAACCACAATGTGTACGTTATATATATATAAATAAGATCGATTTGCCGATTTTGGTTTTAAGGGGTTGGCTAAATATAAATCGCTGTAAAACCTCCAACATTTATATATGAATTATTTCTAAAATTACTCTGTAATAAAAGAATTTCGCCAATTTCTAAATATTTTTTCTCTTACCTTCCCTGCAAATTTTTTACCCTGCCTAATAGGTCAACGTGACCTGACGAATATTGTTCTATCACGTCTTTCACGTCATAAGGTTTTAAAGCTTCTTTGAACTTTCTCCTAGCGACGAAGTATTTTATCTGCAAAAATAAATTAATAAGCTTGATTTGTACACTTATCTCATCAAATTGTTCTGTTATTATCGACTTTTCTTTCTGAACCGTAATAGCCGTACATACTCCAAGAGTTATATTTTAATAAACCATTGCGAAAAAAAAGCGACGCTAGCAACTAGCGTAAAAATCTAAGTATCTATATAATGAAAATCAATTTTTTTTAGTCATCACAAAAATATTATAGATTCTTCTTCTTTCTCTAACGTCTTAGGACGTGCTTAGCGTCTTCTATGAAAAGCTCTCAAAGTATTGGACATTTTTAAACCTGATAAAAATTAACGAACTTCTATGTTTATTAGTAAGTTTCGCTGTAATTATAGCTAATCAGAATTTTTACTATTTTGTATTTGGTTAGATAAATAAATAACACTGATAATGATAATTATCATTGTGCATTAAAGTCGTCTAAAAGTATTATTCTGTTTGAAAAGAGTAGCAGAATTAGTATGATGAAAACAAAAACGAATGTAACAGTAATATCTCAAAATAATTGAAAACCCTTGAACAGTTTGTTTGTTTGATTGAAGTTAAGCACAAAGCTACACAATGGGCTATCTGTGCTCTACCCACCACGGGTATCGAAAC